ATCTCAGTCGAAAATAAATGCGAATGAGAAAGGGTTATGAGTCCTGACTCGATCGGAAAGAATACGCAATGCATTACCTCGATAATCGAAGAAAACTGTCATGATATTCGACCGATTGGTTATATGTTTGCGGGTCGTAAGCAAAGATCCAAGACTCATCACCAGTCATTACATTCTGGTAGTCGGAAAGCATACTTTGACAGACACTGACGCGACCCTGTTTTTCGAAAAAATTTAGGGATTTTGGAACCAATCGTGCTATCACTTCTATTAGGTCCAAATGAACTTTCAAAATGGTTTTCACTGATCTTAACGATATTCTTAATTTTCTTTTCTTAATTTTCTTTTTTGACATGTTGATCAACAGTTGATGTTAATGCCCGTCCTGGACGTGGTTCGTCATCAACGCGTTCTCGGTACTCTTTGAATAATTTGTACCAATCAGAAACACTTGCTCGCGGCAAATAATTATCATAAAGCGTCTTATGTATCTAACATTCTGAATGTTTCGACACCAGAAATTTGATTCCACACACAAAATTTTATGGAACTTCTTTGTTGAATAATTTCACTCATCGTTAAAATCGCCGAACTCATTTTATATACTTCAGAAAGACAAGCGTTTGCTAAACACTAATGATTGTTGTGATGTGAAAATTGGCACAGATGACTGTCATACCAAACCAGAAAAAAAATATTTCGACGAACGGATTTTCGCACGAAATTTCAATTAAAAAGTCTTACTATTTTTAGCCCACAGTATATATCTGTGACCATTGTGACAATCCTTTGATGTTTTGATTTATTTACATGAATGGTAAAGGGGGCTTACAGGTTTAGGTACTTCACTTCAGTGTTAAGACATATTTTACAAAACGACCTCTGTTTATGATGGAAAATGGAAAGTTTTTTGAATAGAAAATTAAATTTCGTCTCAAATCTCCTCCGAAGTCCGAGTCACTGCACTTGGTTACTTGATTAGTGGCGATTGTTGCCAACATTACGACTATCGAAATGGTTAAAAATTATATTTTTTAGAAAAATTTGGTTCAATATATATAGTATGTTCTATGTATATGAAATAGCTGTCTTATATTTGAGAGATAATATTTTGAACCCATAATGTAGTTTTCTTAAGAAATTTTCAAAACATCGTATCTCCTTTTAAATAAATCCACAATTTCTGTAAGTCCTAGCGCATATTCCATACATACGTTATATATACTGTACTCATATAAGTATGTACATATATATAGTATGTTTCTACTCTGGCCATTATGCATGTTGAAACTTTTGCAGCAACTCAACTAATATCCATTACTCGCAATTAAGCATTTCCTTAAAATGAAAGACAGCTGAGTTTTTCACAAGTGGCACTAACCTCTAGCCGCCCCTCACAAAAGCAGCAACATGATGGAGAGTAAGAAGAAGAAGAAAAATCGTGCGCTTGTCATGTAAGCTTAACAACGTAATGCACTGTAATTACCAGCGAAGCTGACTCAGTAAAATCTGCAAAAGCAGGATGCTGCCCCCCACATGAACACGGCGGAGCAAACGCGCACACACTTACTTGCAACCAAACACGTGGCACACACATATGCAACCACGTAAGCAAGTATAGAGTGCCAGCGAGTCACTCGTAACGGTTTTTGGTACACTTTTTACGCTTATCACTGCAACATACTTAAGCTGGAATATTCAAAAAATTCAAAAAGAGGAAGTTTAAGATAAAACCTCGAGGAAAAAGCGAAGAGCTCACATCCTCCCAACGGCTATGGACCGACCTACCAACTCGGGGACTCGCGCGTGGGAGTAAACTCGATGAAAAGTCAATTGGAGTGAGCAAAAGCGACACCGTTATAATTCGATTTTCTGCTCAACACGCATACATACATACACGCACACAAAGAGTTTTATCGCATCCGGCAGCGCCACCAAGGCAGGCACAGGGTTCTCTTTGGTGGCGTGTGTGGGCGTTGACGCTGTTTTATGTGGTTAATACTGCTAGTGTTGTTGTTGCTGTTGTTTTTGTCGTTGCGGCATGTGGGTGATAATGATGTTGCTTACGTCGCTGGTTTTTCTAAATTCCGCTAAGTGTGATTGGAGTTTGTAAGGATATTGCAGTTGTTGTTATTGTTGTTGGGTGGTTAGCGGTTGTCGTCTGATTTGTGCGCAGATTGGGTGCAAACATACTCGCATGTGGAATGGCAAGATGATGCAGTGATGACAAATGCGGTCACATGTGCGAAGTGGGCGCCAAAAGTCAATGTGCGCTGATCTCACTTTAAGCATCAGGGGTTAGGTAAAATAGCAACAACAACAAGCGTTGGGAATTTTAAATATTGAAATTCAAAAATTTATGTAAAATTATGTGGATAAGGATTTTCCTACGTGCAACTTGGATAAAATTATCAACAAAAAGGCGCTTAAGGAGTTGGAACGTTCTAGAACTTTCAAAAAATATTCAAGTATTACACATTTTAGGGTCTTTAAAATAATATTCAATTTGCAGAATACTGAAAAACCAATTTTCTTTGTCCAATTGGCCTGAATTGGTCCAACCTGAAAACCTTAAATTTGAGACTCTCAAAACTACATTCTTCCAAACCCGACACTCGATGGTACTCTCCATACTCCATATGTAACGGTTGATCCTTTAGAGGCACTTTCTTCAATAACCTTTTTTGACAGATCACGCGTGAGTCGTGTCAATCTGTCATGTTATTTTTGTTCGCTATTGTTTGGCATTTCATTATGAAAATACTTACGCCTGATTAAAGTTTTCAAATCGTTCAATTATATTAAGAAAATCCACGTTCTGTAATGAATGTGTTTCACGCACTTCACTCAACTTGTGGTCAACATAATCGTTCTACTGAACGCACTATTCGCAACACAATTTCCCATCTTGAGACCCAGCATTCATTATTGGATAATATTCGACCGAATAGATCAGGTCCAGAGCACACTGAAGAAAATATAGCAGCCGTAGCTGTGAGTGTACACAAAACCGCGGAGAGTCGATTCGACGCCGTTCGCAGCAACTCGAAATGATGTATCTAATGATTTGACGCATTTTTTGTCGATATCTTAAATTGAAAACGTAGAAAATATAGTTTGTGCAAGAACTGAATCCGAAGAAGAACATTCCCTATTAAATTTGAAGTTTCCGTTTTTTTTTCTTTAAAAAAGTAGGGAACCTCGAAATGTATCACACTTTAAATTATTGTATGTTTGGCAGCTATTAATTTACAGACGTGTTTTGGGGAGTCTACTTGTTCACCTCAGTTAACGATGATTACATCGAAATAATTAAAGGAATATTATCTGAAAATCATCGTGTTACTAGAGAGATAGCAGAGGATCTTAACATGATGAGCAAGGTAGCGGATAGCACTATATATATCAAATAGTCTAGCTGAAGACGCTCCTCGTAGAAGCCCGCTTCCTTATTTGCGAAGAACTCGGACAGCCAATTTTCGCAAGCCTCTTTTGAGTTCAACTTTACACCAACAAGGGAGTTCACCATGGACAGGAACAGGTGGTGCTATGTCCGCGTTATATGGTCGATGCGATAGAATCTCCCATCCGAGCTCCCGCAGCTTCTGACGAGTCATGAACGAAGTGTATGGTCTGGTGTTGTCCTAGTGGAACACTAAATCCTTCCTGTTGGCCAATTCTGTACACTTCTAGTCGATCGCCTGCTTTAAGCGATTCAGTATTTCACAGCAGCTCATAGTGGATTATTCCCTTCCAATCCCAACAAACACACCTCAAAACCTTCCTGGCCGTCAATCCCGGCTTGGCCACTGTTTGGGACGATTCACCCGCCTTCGACCACGACCGTTTTCACTTGATATTGTCGTATGTGATCAATTTTTCGTCGCCAGTCACCATCCGCTTCAAAAATGGGTGGAATTTGTTCCATTTCAGTAGCATACCACAGGCGTTTGATTCGGTCCAGAAGGTTTTTTTTTGCGTCAAATCATGCGGCACCCAAACATCAAACTTTTTTGTGCATCCAGCCTTCTGCAGATGGTTTAAAATGGTTTGGTGGCTAACTCCCATCTTGTGGGCAATACCACATGCCGGTCTAACATGATGTCTTTCATGATTTGATCGGTATTCGTCGTCATAGGTCTTACGCCGGCTGGCTTATCCATGTTGTCATTTTCAAACGCTCTGAATCGTCGAAACCATTCCTCCGCAGTTCGAAGTGATGAGAGTACCATCCCCCAAAACACCATTAATCTCACGGAACGTTTCTGCAGCGGATTTGCTTTTAACGAAGGATTATTTTAAATAACCATGTTTACACGTCTAAAACTGTTGAGCGCAATACCCAAACTAATCATGCATAGCGTCGTTTTGTAGATTATGTCAATATCTTTCCAAAGATGTATAGTATTGCCAGATACGAGCTCTGTAGCGCTTTACGCATAGCCGCGAAATTCAAAAGACAAAGAGGGGGTAAGGAAATATTTGGCAACCTAATATGACGAATTAGAAAAAAAACCGCTAAAAGCACGGAAGGCGGATGTACCCGTAATTCATCAAATTTGATCAGTTGATGACTGAAATAAAGAAATTGTACTCTCTTTTTTTCTTTTCTCCCAATCTTTTTTTTAATATTTTAGGGCTCTAGACTCTTTAATTTGGCTGAAATATCAAATTAAGAGTTCTACAAGTATTATTTGACCACAAATTTGCCAAAAAATAATTTTTATTAAAACGATGAACTGAGTATTTTTGGTCATTTCTATATGCTATCATCTGACTGATAATTTTATCATGTGGCCGATCAAATAAATCTCCTCTCATTGATCCTCTGATGAGATGATCAATGATTTTTAGATCTTTAATTTCTATATTAGAAAGTAAGCACGTCACAAGTAAATTTAGGATTATGCAAGCATTTTGGGAGTTGAGTTTTTTTAAACTTTTTTGACGTAAATTTTTACTAAAATTTATTTTTCTTCTCTCCTTTGCTTTCCTTTCAGGTCGATGGCCAAAAGTATATGGGCCAGGGACGCAGCAAGAAGATCGCACGCATCGAGGCGGCCGCCACGGCGCTGCGCAGTTTTATACAATTCAAAGATGGCGCCGTACTAACACCACTGAAGCCGACGTGTAATCTTGATTTCACAAGCGATGAGCATCTGGAAAACGGTATTGTGAATTATGAGAACATAAGCACGGATAAATTAGTCCCGCTTTTAGACGCACTGTTCAGGCATGCGAAATTTATTAAAAAACTGACACCCTTCATGAGGGTAACCGATTGTGCATTGAGCATGACAAGCAAGTATTCGTTTTTTATTTCTTATTCGTTTTGTTATTGTTTATTTCATTGATTTCTATATTTTATTATTACTTTGTATGTGTTGGTATTTAATCTTAAGTTTTAAGTTTTTTTTAATTTTTTTTTGTGGGGAATATTAAGAGTTTTTAAGCTGAGCCTAGGAATAATTAAAGTAGAGATGTTGCATTATTCTACAAACTATTTATGCATCTATCTGCGATCTAAACATATACACGTGCTCTGCGTTGAACGCTATTTTCAAACTGCGAGAAGAATAAGCAATTTTTTGGGGCAAGTCAGAATACAAGGTGCATTCCAAAGTAAACAGGACTTAAAAAAAAAACAGTACAAATGCTACAATTTTATTTGTAGTCAATTAATCCTTTACAAGCGTATATTCGGATTTTCACTTTTGACTTCTCCATACGCGACTCCTTCGACTCAGTACTCTGGCATTTCGTCAACAGTCACAATATTGTAAAGGAGGCTTTCGTCCTTTTTGAGCTCTTTAATGATGTCCTTCGAATGTTGGATTCTGAGCAATTTTTGGTCGTCAGTCAATTTGTGCGGAACAWGCCGTGCACACACCTTTCGTAAGCCCAAATGTTCGGTCAAAATGCAATAAATCGAAGTTTTGGAGACGTTCGATTCCATTTCCATGAATTTAAATGATGATTTCGGCTGATTTTTGATGAATTCACGCACAGTTTCGATGGAATTTCCGGTGATATACGGATTTTGATTGGCCCACATGTTGATCGTCACTTATGTATGTCCCCACGATCCCGTTGAAAACGTTGAAACTACTTGTGCACTCTGCTACGGGGTAGGCAATTATCACCATAAACTTGTTTCATCAATTAAAAGTTTCGGTAAAAGTTTTCAGCTTTCATCCATTAAAACGTTTCGGTAAAAGTTTTACCAATTTTAAAACAAAATTTAATTTTGGTTTTTTGCTCGAAGTTCATTTTCTCACCGATAACACAAACATACGGACACTTAAAACGCAATAACCTTACATCAATGAAATGGCATGAAATCACTCACTGCATAATCGATAACGATAGCAGATTCTAACGCACCAGAAGACATCAGAGAACGTATATTTATAGAGATATTTATAGAGATATACGTTCTCTGCCGACATATAGGTGGCGTCACCAGGGGGCTCTAGATGCCTGTTTACTTTGGAACGCACCTTGTATGCTTCATCACCTTTGGTGATCTTAAGGATTTCTTTTAGAGCCTCGGGAGTAATTTTTTTGGAAATCTGTTTGCAAAAGTCCCGCCGCGCCATCAAACAGAGTTAAACTTTAATGAAAACGATGACAAAATTAGACGAATTCGTCTTGGAGTTGCTTCCGCTGCCATATGTGCTGAAAGTAGTTATGTCAGCACGTTATGCTCTCAGCCTCAAAATAATGATAGCAGGAAAGAGATTTAACGTTATAGAAGAGTTAATCGGCGAACAGATACAGATGTTAGAAAAATCAAATTTCAAAAGTAATTATTCTATGGCCTATGTTCGAATTTTCGAATTAGGCTTTTCTGAAAGGTAGCACAATAGAACGCCCTTATAAGAGCTTATGGTGATTCGAAGCCTATCCTAATCGTTTAAATAGTGTGTTATATAAATTTAAGGGGACTTGCTCGGTTTAGAACTTCATAAAAATCGGCTGGAAGGAACTGTAGTGAAAAGATAAAGAAAAATCATTTTTTATAATAAAAAAAAATACTATAAAAAATATTTTTGACAGGTAAATATAAAAATAATTAAAAATTGTTGTTGCTGAAAAGTTTGGTTATTATAATACAGTTATTTTTAACACTTTTATTGCATTATTTACCCCAATATCGTTTTAAATTCCCTCAGACTTTAGTTAATGCCCCACCTGCAGTAATTAACCATTAATTCGTTCGTTTTTTTTATTTATGTATTTTGTCGATACGTTTGTTGTTGTCCAAAATTTCCACTTGCCGATATGACAAATAATAAATCCGCAGCCTCACACGGTGTCTAGAGCTGTCTCTTATACACATCTAGATGTGTATAAGAGACAGCTCATACGCCATGCGGACTTGACTAAGAAACAAACTTTTACTTGCGTAATCTTTGGTAAAAAATAAAAAAATTAAATAAAAAAAAAAAATATTTATATTTCATTTAGAATTTTATTTTTTTAATAAAATATTGAAATATGTTTCCCAACCCTGCCAACAGATGTAAATAAAAGCGCCATCACTGTGGATGGTCAGAAGAAAGTGCCAGATAAGGGACCTGTTATGCTGCTCTACGAGCTCTTCAACGATGTGCACTTCGATTGCTCGACTGTAGATGGCGCGCAGAACAATTGTCGCTTCAAAATGACAGTAACGGTGAATAACAGCAAGTTTGACGGCACAGGTATGCACAATATTAATAAACAAAAATTGTATATTAATTTTTATGTATTTTTGCAGGACCCTCCAAGAAGCTGGCCAAAAATGCCGCCGCCAAAGCCGCACTCGCGTCACTGTGCAACATCTCATACAGCCCCATGATGCATCCGCAGAAGAATGTGCCCTTACCCATTGACGATAAGACCTCGTCCATGGAGTTGCCACAGATACACGCCGACACCATCGGTCGTCTGGTATTGGAGAAATTCATGGAAGTCATTAAGGGACAGGAATCGTATTCGCGACGCAAAGTGCTGGCCGGCATCGTGATGACCGAAGACATGAATTTCAATGAAGCCAAAGTGTGTTGCCAACCATTTGCTCTGCTCCTCACCAAATGCCACCAAATAATTCGCTTTTTTTTTTGTTTTCCTTTTTTCAGGTAATTTCCGTGTCCACCGGCACGAAGTGCGTGAGTGGCGAACACATGAGCGTCACCGGCGCCGTGCTGAACGATTCGCATGCCGAGATCGTGTCACGCCGTTGTCTAATGAAATACTTATATGCTCAGTTAGAACTACAATGCAGTCAGAGTAAGTTGAAGCGTGCATTAGCTCTGCCACCCATTGCAGACTCTCTTAGTCGTAGTAGACGAGGAGCAAGAGTATTTACATACTTACGTAGAAGAGAAACAGATTTTCCTTTATTTTCATATATATTTTCTTGTGTATGTTTGTATATAAAACTTTGATTTTATGCCACACACCGTATTCGTTCTTAGTCAAGTCTTCTTTGGAATTGTAAATATGCATACATACAAACATATGCACACCAATGCATTTGTAACTGTATGTGTATGTACATAAATATTTTCAACTATTTCAATATCTTAAGTTTTCGTTTGTGATAAAGTAGTAGTGTAGTTTTTTTTTTATTTCGCTCAGCGCACTTTGCTCAGCCAAGCTTTTTTGTTGAATGCGATTTATGCGCTTTTTTACGAAACTATCATACATCGACACAAAAAAATAAAATAAAATAGAATAAAATAAAAATAAACACGCCAAAGCGCTCAACGCGCTACACACAACAATAAATCCAGCTGTACGCATGTATTGTTGCATTTTGGG